CAAAAGCTGAGAACTTGATCATTATACAAGAACAAACAAAAGTTACTATTCCACGCTCACGCTCACGCCCTGTGGCAAAACTGAGTGGATAAACTCAGCTTCATCATGTTTCTGATCATTTTTTTTAAGCAAAATACAAGTGTTTCAAGAAAGTATGCATTATCGAAAGTTGCAGTCAACTTATTGATTACCAACTCGAAAAAACATCTGAAACTTTATATCAGTTATTTCTACCCCGTTTTTGGAGCACTCACCAGCAAATAGAAGCCTCAATTACTAAAAACAAACGAAGACCTCCTATGTTGTCAATAACGAGTATGCCCTCCCACGAGCTTCAACTACTGCATCCAACCGACGTGGCACCGTGTTGATCAAATTTATCAATCAGTCTGAGGGATTGTTCCAAAATATTCCTGAAGAACGAATCATACCTCTTCAAGAGTCTTTGACAAGTCCTGACGAATGTGAATGAGCCTCTGGAGTCACTCCTAGGAGTGCTCCATAGTTCTGAAATATTCTTGACATAAAATTTGAAGGAACCATATTTTCTCAAAACAGTTGTATTTTCTCTTGAGAACACGATATTGACGTAAATCGAGAACCATTGTGTAGAGGAGGGATGAAAAGGGATCACACTCCAATATTGAACATGATAAAGCAGAAGATTAGAGGGTTTTGAATTACTTTAAATAAATATTCGAAAAGTTCGTACCTACTGCCTTCAAACTCTCGTATCTTCTTTCAAGGAAGATATTGACGTGAACCTTTGTGTTGAGAAGGGATAAGTGTTAGTTATTAAACTAGGTCAGTCATACTCACAAACATATCAGAGACAACAACAACAATTATGTTGGTTTCGTTAATATTTATTATATTTCCATTTTTCATGATATTCCATTCGACAATTCATGCATGGAGAAAATGAAAATAATAGATTATTGCGAAATAACTGGAAATGTATCAGAAACTTCCTCAACAAGTTCCTAGAGTATTCTTTCCGTAGATTTATATTATGAGCTCCGATTTTTGATAGCTATTATACAGGGTGAATTATTCCCACAAGAACTCAACATGGGGAAACAAAATTTCTTTCCTGATATGGGTCACCTTCATGAGGCTACTTGTTGAAGCCTCTCAGTCAAATATTTTCACCAAATTTTAACCAAATCGGACGATTACTGTATTTAATATGGACGATTAATTTTTTCGTCAGAATCCACGAACCATTGTGTATTTGAGTAACAAAGTGGCTTTGTATACTCGTATATAGCATTTTGCAATCATATTGGCAGTCCCTATAACCTTATAGGTTTTGTCGGAATAATTTCTGGACTCTGGACTAATCATTATTTCAGAGTTTTTGGAGTTTCTTCTCTCTTGAAGTAAAACTCATTTTTTTAGAAACGGGGAGAGAAAATCCCAAGAAATATGAAATAATGAATATTCCACCTCCTCCATCAGTATTCACCTACTCCTCGTTTCATATGAGACAGTTATTCTTGAGAAAATGCATAGATATTCCATGTCCGTGCCTTTCGAATATTTGTGGGGATTTTCACAATCAGAAACGAAATGAGTGGGCATTTTCAAATTGTCGGATTGAATAATGGCAGGTGATCTAACAAAATTTGTTCATCTATGTTCAATAATAATTCCTCGATAGAAATGTTGCCGCAATGTTGTATGCATGATGCCTATCGTAGATGATTGGAAAATGACACTCACTTAAGATCGAATACATTCTTCCATGTGGCTATAATTGACTGTATCTACTGAATATAATTCTATTGATTATGATCTCCGAAGGTTGAAAAACATACCTGAATTTCTTCAATTTGGAAACAAGAACATTCTTTTTCCCGAAACGACATAGAAAGTAGCTTTTTCATTACTTTCGACAGGCAGCAAATGTATGTTTACTCTGCCTAGGCAGGAGGAAATTGTTGCTATGCAATGTTCCAAGTGATTTGAGGTAACTGAGTGATCAATATAGACGACATTGGATGAACACAAAATGATGGAGTTCTCAATGAAATAATTAAGTACGGAATTGGTTTCATAACATTTGGAAAAATAAGAGTATGTTCCACATTGCAGCAAGCTAGTTTGACTGCTACGTTCAGCTATGAACTATCAGTCGCGGTAGTCAATAAACTACTACTGTGCTGCCTTGTAGAATAAATAACTATTGTTTCGTCGAATTCTTTTGAAATCATCGTGATATTCCACCGAGAAAAAATCTATCAGAATTGTGATTCTTGATACATATACTCCTTAACTTCTATTGTCTTGTTGAAACTCGAATCAATGAGTACAATAAAGAATTCAGTTATCATGAAAGATCAGATCATCATCAATTTAGTTTTCTGTTAGGCTATGCATAAAGTATTCCATCGATCAATAATTTTCATTCGAGTCTTTCCCAGAATTTATTCACCGCCTTTTATGTCCACTATAATAATTAAATTGGTAGGTAGGTATATTCATTTGCTGCTCCAATACTTATTTTCCACAGTTAAGTCTGATAATAAAACATCTGCCTATAGATAGCACGAAGAAGTAATAAACTTATTTGAATATTCTCAAACTTGGTACATTATTTTGCTATCTAGGAATCAGCAATTTCTGAAATTCATATTGATATCCAATTCTTTTCATGTTGGATCCGACATGAAGACGATTACGTACACTCAATCGAAGATGATGCCTACATAATATATAGAGGCAGAAGGAGTGTCAACAATTCTTCTCAGGCACTCAAGCACGACGCATCTACTTTCATCAATAGATTTTGCGGAGCATAATTTTTTTGTAGAGCAAGTACCAATCCTTCATCATAATATGATATACTTTCTCTACTCCAGCAACTGTTATAGCTTTCATCCTCGCCTAATTTGGTTTTAATCGGCTTATCATTTCTAGTAGAATTTATGGTCGAATTAAAAGTTTTCACATTTTAATGACCTTCATAATTACTATTAAAACACAGAAACTTGATAGGGAGAATAACCATTCTCTGAAAAACAAATAATTGCGTTATATGAATGCAAAAAGTATGATTTCACTGCACTTTCTGAAATAGCGTCAATGAATAATGATTTGCTGGATTGTTGTGTAGATAGTATTTATTTGGGATTGTTTATGAATATATGAGAATGAAGAATCCTCCAGAGTGAGACACGTAATAGTATAATAGGTATGCGGAATACACTTACTTTTGTGTTCAGGAGTGTCCATATATAGATCCAGAATTTCATGCAATCTGCTGATGAAAGATGAATCTATAAAAAAATCAAAAATCAATAAGTACATGAGGTGGCACTAAAAGGCGATGGAGAAATTGATATCAATAATCTATTCAGTAGGTATATCCCCTTGATAAAAATCATGGAAATATACAGGGTGTATCTAAACTACACCAAAAATATTCAAGGAGTGATTCCTTTTTTCTATTCATTTCTCAATTGTCTCTCCATCAATTTCAATCCTTGTGGGATTCATGTATATCTAGCTTAGTTTTTGAGGAAACAATGAAAATTCGATTTGACTCCAAATTTTGATGTTGGAGTTTTCGAACCTTCCATTGAGTTTACTCAATACCCCAATCAAAATCATTCTGGAATTCCAGGGCTTCCTCAGTCTCAGAGGAGTTATGAATGAAAACAATTGATTCTTCCAACTACAACATCCTGTATCTAAAAAAAAGCAAGTTAGGACACGTTTTCATATAAACTTTATTTGCAAGGAAACACCTCTCAAATTTGTTTGGTGTTATTCAGTTACCCTGAATATGGTGTTTCAGTCTATAGTCTAATGTTGGTATAGTTTCCACTGGAATCGGATATAGTGAGAGCTGATTTATGAAATGAGTATAATTTTTGTAATTTTCAACTGCGAAGACCGTTCTGGATTTCAATTTCAATGGAACTGAAACGTGAGCAAGATCATCATTCACTCAGGTAGGTATCTCTGATGATTGAGAAAATCGACTCATGATTTCCTATCTCGTTTTCATTGTCGCTCTTGAGGCGAATATCTCAATGCAATTTCAAGTTGATGAGTTTTCGAGGGTCATTTAGATTTTAATGGAATTCTGGACCAATTACCTGATATATGAAATCGACTCCTTGATGTGAATCGAAGTTCTCTTGAAGAGTGTTGAATTTCAAACAAACAACGATTCCTAATTAATATTTAGAAGAGGCTTCAACAGATTTCAAATTGAGGCATGTTCATTGTTTTTCAAACAGAATAGGCTTGCAGTAAATTTTTTTATGTATATCGGTTGAAGCAGATTGAAAAATGAAACTTCTCAAAAGCTCTGAATCTAGTTAGTCTAGGTCATTCACTAGATAGGTCATAGCCCGCAGTGGTGGTCCTATCTTATAGATCCACTCACATTGAACCTTATTTTCCTTTTTTATATATATCCATTTCTTTATGTTCATAAATATATCTGAGGATGTTCCTTTTCAGAAAAAAATCAATTCAAACAATGAGGGTAACCTAAGTTTCATTTGGTGATAATTTCACTGGTACCAACCGTATTCACTTCAAATACTGTGAATCAAACATATATATGAGGAAAAAAGTGATTCTCTTGACATATCCAGCCCTTGTGACATATTTTTGAACCCTCCCTTCATCAAAACTGTTTCTTTTTTTATCAAATTCAGCTATTGCTCAAGTTTTCATTGTTTTTCTCTGAAAGTGGAGATGATATTCTGTGTAAAAATCAAATGGACTTGCCCTGTGAACACGCTCCTGATAACATTTTATTGACTGGTGAATAATTTCAACGAATGTTGTGAATTCTGTTACTATTTTCTGAAATCCATGGAGATGCTCTATCCTCAATGAAACTTGAAAATCCTTCATCTTTGACAAGTATGAACTCTTCTCTAATTTCGACTCAGGAATATGAACTCTGAATTCCGTACAATACTCAGAGGACGTGTTTCAGGGAGAATTCAGATTCTCCATATAAATGAATTGATAACATGTCATTGTTTCAGGTATATGTATCATTCTTGTTAGCTATAGCTACCGTAAATGCCGGATTCTCCGGTAGTTATGGAGGCTATGAAGGCTATGGTGGTGACCATGGAGGACATGACATCTCACATACAGTAGAAATCACCAAACATGTCCCGATTCCAGTATACAAGCACGAGGCGGTCCCTATTCCACACACCATCCCAGTTCCAGTTCCCAAGCCAGTCGCAGTACCAGTTCCACAGCCCTACCCCGTCCACATCAAGGTACCTCAGCCTGTGGCGGTACCAGTGATCAAGACCATCACCATTCCCGTCGAAAAACCGGTACCCTACAAGGTAGAGAAGGAAGTGCCATACCATGTGGAGAAACCTATAGCCGTACCAGTGGAGAAACATGTTCCGATCAAGATTCCCAGACCAGTTCCTGTCAAAGTACCAGTTTATAAAGTGGTGTACCATCATAGCAAACATCATTAATCGAAGTGCGCAAGACTGATCCATTGTAGGTTTATATCTCATCTTAGTCATTTTTCCATTGTTGATATTTGTTGATTTTTGTTGATTTATATTTTTTTAAATAAATGTGTTTTATCATATAATGACCCTGTTTTATGCTCCCAATAGAGTATTGCTACTCATTCGACAATTTGCTGAATAAGTGCACTGCACTGGGTATACAGAGAAGTTCACAAAAAACGGCCAGGACTGTAACTTTTGATTCATTTGAGATAGGGTTTTGAAAATTGGTGGGTAGCAAGTATACCAAATTGCCCATTGATTGATGACCCAATTTATCACTTTCAATTTCACCGAAAACGACTCCAACTTTTGATTTTCAAATGGTATACCCTGTATTGTATTCCATAATCGTTTAGAAATTATCATTACGAATTCAACGATACCGGGTTTGATAGGGTTATTCCAAACGATTACAAAGATATTTGCGTTCGAAGGGTCAATGGGTGTGACTTCGCAATATCAACACTTCCTTCTCTGTCACACTCATTGAGCATATGGAAACTTGGAACGCAAATATCTGCGGAATCGTTTGACATAACCCTATATCAAATCCGGTATCGATGAATTCGTCATGACAATCCCTAACCCTATTCCCATTCAAAAATCAAAAGATGGGGTCGTTTCCAGTAAAACCGGAAGTGATGAAGAAATAAAGGTTCCGTTTATTAATGAGCGGTTTGGTATACTAGCTGCTCACCAATTTTCAAAATCCTGTCTCGAATAATTCCAAAGTTACATCCCTGGCCGTTTTTTGTGCACTTCTCTGTATGTGCATTAGAATACATCACATAACAAAATGAGAACATAATTTTGGAGAATATTTTCTTCTGCTGCATTCAGTAATAATCATCGAAATCTCAAATTCTGTTGCAGATACTTATTAAATGTTCAGTTTCGTTAGTGGATGAATAGTTCAGCGTGCTTCTATATTTCGCGAAATGCTTCAGTTCTTGACATTATTACTAGAGTATAAATGACTGCCATATCCAAAATAATGAAGCTTGGCTATAGTTACACTGCTAATTGCCTAACAGTATTGTTTTTCTGCATCGCGATAGATACGAAATGTAAGTGGACCCAATATAGAAACGATAATGTATTATTCCTACAAGACATTTGCACTTATAGCACCATTTAGATAACTACCTGCTGTTCCCGTTCTCAGGAGAGGTTTGATTTTGAAAATTTTTGATTCACATTATCGTATTTTGGACAACGATGAATAATTACTCATGAGAATTGGTTCACATCAATAAATTGTAATTAATAATTTTCATTTCATTAAATGTGCATTGTGTCGAGAAAGGCGGTGACAAGATAAACAATGGAGTTCACAAAATGTTCATCAATTATCTAAAACACCGATTCTACCCAGAGACGTTCTTTCAATTAGAAGATTGTCGAATATTTTATCGATAATTTATTCACGAACATTTTCAGCATCACCCACCAAGATTTCAGACAGAAGTTGAATCTCGGATTCTTCATGCATATTTCATAAAGATAATCTTTTCAAGCACACTATGTTTTGATATGCATGTCCAGCAGTTGTTTGTAATAAGAATGAGTTTTCATGAAGACATGAATGAAACTGAAACTGTTTAGAGATTCGTCAGCGGAGATTGACAAGGCAATCGTGAAAAAACAGAAGATACTGATAATCTTCTGTAAAGGGTTGCAGTTTCATCAGTCAGGCGAGTCGTTGCGAGCCATAAACGCATCGAAACATCGAAGAGACGACGAGTTTTGGATTAGTGATAGACAACTCGGACTATCACGCTTCAAAAGAGGAAAAGAAGGGGCTGTCGACGGATAAGGCGATTGAATCTATGGCTCATGATTCAACCAACCCCCAATGGTGCAGCATAGCTTATTTCCAAGTGGAATCAGATCAATTAATACAATAGATATAGGGATGAAATCATTATTTTATCTGAACTACACTCATACAAACCACATACAAAACCTCCAAAGTGAAGAGTTAGTGCATTCTGGCGCCCAATGTACCGTAAATGGGGAATGATTGATATATTTGATTTTTTTTCAAGATTGAGAGTTCTTGGTCCTCAAGATCTTGGTCAGTTCCATTTTTTCTTATGTCGAGATGTCGGTGTTAGTGTGAAGAGGAAAGTATTCAGGGTGATTAACAAGATAATATCAAAAAAATATAGAGAGGAAGAACAAACATTTTATGAATATGAATATGTGATGCAATTGACTGAGAATAAAACTTCAATGTCATGTCGTTCATGAAAAGTTACTGGAATTCTGGAAACGAACCGAAATTTTTCGAATTATCCAATACGGTAGCTCTGAGTCTGGGTCTAGAGGTGCCTATTACTTGGAGTATATTCGGGAAAGTAATAATTCCACCCAACCTTTGACATAACGCAATTTAGTCGACTGATCAATCATTCGGATCACTCTGTACGTCGAGAGATCTCTATATAGAGGCAATAATTATTTCTAATGGAGAAATATTATCGAGAAATGTTGCTTGTAGATGAGAAACTAATAATCGACGCGCTCTCAGGGCACGGGGCCCTTCATTTATTGAGAACCCGTTTTTTCATTAATCATTTGATTTCTCGACTATGGCCATTTATAACAATTCCACAACTAGTAGCATCAAAAATGTTTGCATTTCCAAGTAAGTCAAGCACAAATTAGGTGATTCTTTCACATCGACCTTTATGTTGTATTGTATACAGGCTGACTGACAAAAAACGCCCCGATCCGTAGCGCCGCTATTTATCATTCGATTTCAAAAAACAAAAAAGCAAATGAAATGACTCATGAGATACAACAAGGTGGCACTAACAATTTCTTCATCCAATTTCAACTATAACAACACCCATTGTCAACTTTTTTTTTTTCAAATGGCATTGTATATTTTCTAATTTTTTTTCTGATAGAGATTATTTTTCTGAATACAATGATGTTTCACACATGAGGTCTAGCGGGAAAGATTACAGAGATATAGGGTGTTCAAAATCGAGATTTTTCAACTGTAGAATTTCTTTTGTGTCGAAACTATTCATTTTTGGTCAAAACGGCTTGCATGTGTCTATCTCAACTTCTGATTCACTATCTACTGACATTTAGTTGGAACAAATACAGGGTGGTTCAAGAATCAGAGAATTCTGATCACCCTGTATCTGTTCCAATTAATGTCGATAGATAGTAAATCAAAAGTTGAGATAGAGTTCAATCAATGAACGTTTCGAATGAACATTAGTGAGGACTTCGCAGGATCATTGAAAAGTAGTTTCGTATCCATGTAAAATACATGTTTTCAAATGAACTGTTTGATCTACAAGAAATAACGCTATTTTATGGAGAACTGATACACGCATAATCTTGAAAATTTAGAGATAAGGTAAATGGAAAATGAGGAATCCGACTTCCATCATTGTCCACCCTTCGATTCCTCAAGAAGTAATGTCATTTTTGTTTATGTCATTAGGACACCCTATTCTTGAGCTGATCGATATTTTTAGATGAACTGACAGATTCAGTATATATGTGAATCAATTTTTTTTGTGATACGCAATGATTTCATTTCCTCTCACCGTTGGATAGACCTTGATCAATCTGCAATCACATATTTCAATTTCCGAATATTTCGTTGAAAAAAATTGACAGTTTTTGTATTTTTTCAATATTCGATACAAAACTGTCAATTTCTGTACACGAAAAATGAGATGAAGGAACCGAGTCCGTATTTCAATAAAAATGACATGATGATGGTTCCTGGAAGACGAAACGTCAGGTTGACAATTTGAAGACGTCAATTTATATAGGAGAAGGAGTCTTCATGATAAGGTCTCATCCATTTCGCCATTCGGATTAATTACTTCAAGTAACTCAAAAATATTAGAGGTTTTGAACGATTTGAAGTTTTTCGGATAACCCCGAAAGTATTCGGAATTTTCAAAGTTTCAACGGCATTCTGCCAAGCATAAAATTGCATGAATTTGCCACTATTTAACCGACACTGTATCTCTTACGGTTTACGAGCTCTCAATGGTGAGACTCAGATATTGAATCAGTATTTTCTGATTCAAATGAGATATTGGAATAAACACCTACTAATCGTTCGAAGAATTTGAATATCAATTATTCATCTTCTTCACATAATAATAGACGCTTTTGAATGAGTGATCAGTTTCAACGGCATTCTGCCAAGCATAAAATTGCATGAATTTGCCACGATTTAACCGACACTGTATCTCTTACGGTTTACGAGCTCTCAATGGTGAGACTCAGATATTGAATCAGTATTTTCTGATTCAAATGAGATATTGGAATAAACACCTACTAATCGTTCGAAGAATTTGAATATCAATTATTCATCTTCTTCACATAATAATAGACGTTTTTGAATGAGTGATCATATAGGTTTCATCAACATTATCAGTACACAATTGAATGAAGTATCAAGTGCATCGAAAGTTGAAGATATGTTAATTCGAAACGTTGGAATGAAAAAGATTTTTTTGTTTCAATCTATAACTTTCCTAACATTATATACAGGTTATTTCTAGCAATTAGCCTACCGTACGTTGTGAATGTCTATAAGTATGAACATTTTGTTCTGACGTATAATGTTGGTTATGGATGAAAATGACTTTATGATTATTTGGGAATAGAACGTTTGAAGAACGTGTTTATTACTCGATTATCTCAAATAGAATTTCAAAGTTGAAGTTCACAACCCGTAACGTGATTTTTACGATTTCAACTGAAATCACCGTTATTGAATGAAAGAGAGTTCATCATCACTTGAGTTACCCCAAGGAGAGATTTGTCTTGGTTCATCTAATATTGCCAAGAAATTCATGTTCAGGAAACACCAGGTGACAAATTGCACCTAGTTATTCACAGGATTTTGACTGAGGAGAAGAGGTGTTGAAAAGCAGCAGCCTTTGTATCATACAGTATATTGGGTATCCATG